AGGAATGCCTGCAATAAATTACATATGATTGGCCATGTACAAAGGGATTGCTGTTAGGCAAGCAGGGAACTGCACTGCCAGGCTCTCTAAGGGCACTCATGATCCCAGTGCAAGACTGCAGCTGACATTTAATTTAAAAATCAAAGGTTGTTCAATGCAAAAAGTGAGCCCATGCGACCATAATAAGAAAAGCAGCAGGGGGCTCTGTGGAAAGGATGGAAATTTAAAAATCACTGTTCCTAATAAGCACATACAGTATCTTAAACAGATAATTAAAGAGCTCTTATCACATTTGTATGTAGATTGAACAAAATATGGCAAGGGGCCTTGTCAAAACACTCTCCAGTGCAGTGTGCTGTGCTTCACAAAACGGATGAAAGACCCGGACAGAATTTCAGACCCACCACTGCAGATTTCCCAGCCACCTGACGTGCCTAAAGCAGAGTGCTGACCTGTCGGGTTGCCATGCCTAGCAAAAGAATCATCTAAGCAAGTCTTCTGGATTTTCTTCCCCCATATTCTGCAGGCAGCACAGGAATGGATGAGGATAAGCAAGTACAACAGAGACCTTGCATCCAACTAACTCACAGTTGTGTCCAGAGCAAGACCCAACACACTGTAGCTTTCTGCCTGACTTGGTGAGGTGAACTTGGCTTCCTTTCTCCAACACACTCCCCTGGCTAACAACCTCAGTGTGAAACGTCTGCTGGAAAAACCCCCTTTGCCCCATGAACCTTGCTCAGGTACCTGGTCCTTGAGATGGGTCTCTGTGCAGTACTTCCATTGCTGAAACACCTCAGACAGTTTATCCAGGCCACCATGGTGAAAGTGGAAGATCTTGTACTGGCTCTCCCTGCTCGCAACAACCAGCTGTCCACAGGTGCAGGCCTCATCGCTGTGGGACAAAACAGCAGGGGAACAACCTGTTTTCATTGCCCAGGACAACCAGGGGCCCAGGGAAAGGGCACATCAGAGGAGGGAGAGTGGAAAGCAAAGTACCAAGACATGTAGCATCAAGTTGCCCCTTAACACAGGGCAGAGAAGTAACTTTGCAGCTCTGGGATTTTATGATCATTATGGGTCCCTTCCAACTTGAGATATCTATGACTCTATGGCATGGCCATAGTGGCCATTTCTCCCAAGAAGCTCCACTGGAGCCTGGTAACAGCACTCTGTAATCCTTCCATCACATGAAGGAATTAAATACTGTCTTCCCTGGAGAACCCAACCCAAGAAGTCTGCCCCAGCAACACTAAGGCAGCACACAAAGTCAGCTCCTAGGGATGAGCAAACCTGGTTGCACACAGCATTGTCTGAAGAAGCAGGGACTGAGAGCCAAAAGAAGGAGTATAATTTTTAATCACTTTTGTACGAATTTGAAAGATAACAGAATAGGCTAAGAGCAGTAAGATCCTAGAGCAGCCCCACAGAGAGGCAGGCAACAGAGAAGATACCATAGATAAAGAGATGTTTTCCACACCTCCAGGTTATTTTAAACATTGTTGGTGAGTCAGCTAAGAGCAGCATTTACCTTGTTAAGAAAAAAAAAACCCTTCTAGGCCCCATAAGTGCAATTCAGAAGCTCTCCTGGGGAAGGCTGACACTTGCTTTCCTGTACACAACCATTAGGGAAGGACTTCCAAGGAGGACTGCAGAAGCCACCTGCCTCCAGAGCCTGGTGTGCACTGACCCAGAGCATACACAGATATCTGCCACAATAATTACCTGAAGAAGAGGCGAAGGGACCTCATTTGTCCCAGGTCCACTCGAAAGACACCACAGACCTGCTCGAGGGCAAATACTCTCTGCTGTTCATCCCATCTGGTGCTCTGCATTTGCCCATTACTCTCCTGGAACTGGGCACTGGTGTCGAGGCTGGAGGCCGAGCTGGTGGAGCAGGTCATGCCATTGTCACACGTGTCCCTGCAGAGAGGAGCGTGGAGGAAGAAAGCCTGACATGACATCAGCTGAAGAAGACTGCAGTTATATGTGATAACCACAGAAGGACTGAGTTAAATATCCTTTGACAGGGCTCTGAAATTGGAATTTGGTGTAGGTCTAAGGAGTCAATAACCCACACAGAGAATAAATAATTTTATTTAAATTAACCCCCTACTATCCCAACAAACGATCCTGTTTTTGGTCTGTTTCTAAACTGCACACAGAACTGGGGAAAGCCAAAAGCATTCCTCAGAATATTAACTTTTGAAGGAGGCAAAAGGAAGAAGCCCAGTGTGGGAACAGCCCAGACTGCTCCGAGGAAGGGCCTGTCCCCTGCTCCTCCCCTGCAGCATGGGCACCTGCCTGCCCTCCTGCCAACCCCACAGAGCCCTAAGTTGCAGGACCCCTGCCAACCATCATGGGATTGATGGCCTCTGGAGATGAAAAACACTGGGCCATTGTGAAAAACTATGGCTGCAGAAGTGCAGCAGCCCCAGCAGCACTCAGGGAAGACCTTCCAAAGGAAGGGACTTGCCTCACAGCTCAAGCAACCCCCTCAGCACACAGCCCAGCACATTCCAACAGCACCACAGAGCAGGGATCTCCTCTGGCAAATTCCCTCTGCCACCACTGAGATCTAAAGACATTTCTCCTCAACTTGAGCTTCCCATTATTCCTTTGCAAGTGGACCTGATGAGCCTGGACTCGTGTACAAACTTCAGACAAATGATTTCCACTTGCAAACGTGAAACTTTGGAGAATTAAGGAGAAGGAAATGACACATGAGCTCTTTAACCCACCACAAAGCAGAGAAGGTGAATCCAACCATTTCCCAGTACACCAGGAGCTCAGTGGGCCCCAGACACTTATCTTTAGGAGTAAAATGAGTTTAGATTAAAAAACCCCACATGCCTGCCACCAGCCCCGATCCCAAAAGCAGAGTATCACTGCTTTGAGAATTAAGGGAATCTGACACTGTGACCCCTTGATTCTTAAAAAGGCCAATACATGTGAACAATCTCAGTGCAGGCCCTGAATGGGCTCTGCTGTGAAATCAGGGCTTGCGAAACAAGGCGAGTGGCAGGTATAAAGCCAGCCCCCTGCAATGCCACTTTATGCAATGTTTTCTAATCCGCTTATCTAACAATGTAGGCACTGAACGCTGAAAATCACACCCTCAGCATGCATCTGCAGCACACCACATCAGTATGCTTTCCAAGCCTGGCTACAGCGCCTCTTCCACAGGGATGAGCCTTATTTGCAGCATCTAGCCATGGTTCAGGTCATTGCATTCCAATGCACGGGTCCCTGGACATCCCTGTTGGTTGTGGGTTACATTTTGAACCGAGCCCTCGCAAGCCGCCTGGTTCACATGTAGGACTGAGAACCTTGATGCCCACACGCATGGGAAATAAATCCCCTCTTGAGTTCTGCAGCATTATGTAGATGAGACAAAGTATTTTACTTTCAGCTAGAAGAGCCCCTTTGCTACTCTGCTCACCAAGGTCTGCTGCTCCATGTTTCTGAAAGAAAGCATGGAAGCAAAACTCACACTCGAGCCATTTGGAGGCTGAGGTCGTGGCCAAGACCTGGCAGTAGCACCATGTGAGCAGGGACCTGACCATGGACCCCAACTCACTCAGAGAGGAACAACAGCAGTTCTTCTGGGGTAGACACCAGGACACTTCCAGTCCCACAAGCACAGCTACACACCATCATAGGAACCTGGTGAGTTTTTCCATAAAAATTGTACTGCCCTTTCTGAAAAATCAAGCGTTACTTTCTGATAGAGCTGCAAAGTGGAGCACTCTCCTGCAGCTTTCAGTATCTCATTTAATGCAGAAGCAACAGGAGTCCTGCTACAAGACACTCGTGCTGGACTGCTTGCTAGAAGCACCTGGTATTTATGGAGCAACACTTCATAACAGCCACAGCTGGTTACACAGGATTTTCCTGGAAGAGATGACTCAAACCAGCTCAAAGACTAAGCAGAGGCAACCAATTTACTAAAACTCTTGCAAAGATGAACTGGTCTGTACGACAAAGGGCTGGAAGATGGGTTGGCTGTGAGGATCATCATCACAGCGGCCAACGTGCCCATTCTTCAAGAGCATCATCTCAAATGGCCACTGAGCAGAGAGACAACTGCCAAGAGAGGAGTTACCAGCAGAGCTGGGCAGGCTTGCTTGGGTCCCAGGAATCATGTAGCTCCTCAGTATTGAATCCTACTGCAGCTGCAGCTCCTGCTACATCACCAAAATCTGCTTCAGATAGGCAAGTAGCTACCAGGAAACTCAAAGGCTGGAGAGCCCAGACACAAAGGTTATATTTCTGGAAGTGCTTCTTCAAGACAAATGTTTACAGTTCCCATTAGCCACCAATTCCCAGCTTGCACACAAACCAGCACATGGAAGCTGCAGCAACGTGCATCACTGGAGTCACCCTCTTTGGACAGCAAAAGGCCAGGGAGTGAGCACAGTGCCTTGGAGTGTGCAGCCCAGGGAAATCCCAACTTTCTCACTGATGGAGCTGAAATCTGAAAGAGACATCTGTGCACCCCATGCCCTTCAGAGAGGCTGATCAACACATGCATTCATACCCAGCACAGATGCAGTGAGAGCACCACCTCATACACTGGTGTGTACTTAGTCACTGTGGAAAACCTCACTGTGTTTAAAATTACTTTTTCCTGTATATATTGACTGAAAAAAAAAAGGGAAAGATTCTAACCTGTTGGACTACTTTAAAAAATAATTTTAATATTGAGATCATTCTGTACTTTAGTACCAACAAGTAGTGTGATCAATGCTAATTTTGTGGATTTTGGATAGTCCTCCAAATATGCATGCAAGGTACACAGTTGCAAAGGAAGAATTCTCCAACTTACTATTTATCAAAATCAGACTACTCTATCTGTTGGATGAGGGATTTATACCAGAGTGCCCTGCAGAAGCAGGGAGCTGAAGCGTTGCAAGGCAAATAGCTGGAGGAACATTCCAGAGAGACTTTGGGTTGCTGGATCCAGGAAAAACAAAGCACCAGCTAGTATACAGCACTGCTCAGCAAAACAAGTGAACAAGTGCAATGGTCCATGGGAATAAAAGGGACAGGGAAAAGAAAAATAAGAAGGACTAGCAAAACCTGCAGAAGGAAACCCACAAACATACTCATGATTCCACTTGAGCCTTTTCCCCTCACTGAAGCCCCATTACTCTTGTCTAAAAATATATCTCGTTCTTTCTGGTGAGCTAGACCAGGTGGGGATGTGTTTTCTCCACTCAACAATCAACTGCAGCAATCAACCATATCTGCATTCCTTGAGGTTTTGTAGCCCCTCAGAGAGCAAATGCTGGTGTAAGGCAGCCTCTGTCCCCTCTCTCACACCTGGTCCAGGAGGTCAGCCCCGCTCCACGAGGGAGACTTGGCTATGCTGAGATGTAGCAATGGGACCTGACTTATTGTTTGGTCAAAGCATTCGTACACACCTACAACATAAAGAGATATAAACCCAATTATTACTTCTGTTATAGAGCCAGGGTAGAGCCCTGCACCAATTATGTAGGAAGATTATTTCAGCAGCAAAGATCTAATAGCTCATTTTACAACATGATGTGACAAATGTAATTATAAGAGAGAAAGGGGCTGAAGATTATAGCCATGATGTGGCAGTCACCCAAGCTGCCAGTGTGCACCACCCAATTCCCAGTAAGCCTCCTGCAAGAGCCAAACCCTCCTCTGTTGGCTCTCCATCACCACCCTGCTGAAGCACACCTTTGCTGGCACCAGCTCTCCTTACAGCCTGAGCTGCTCCTGCACATTGGCTTCTGAAGCATCATTTACAGACAATAAGTATTATCATTAAGTATGAGCATCCATGTAATGGGAATTACACGGCCCTTTTCCTTTCCAGGCGTTAGCATTTCTCTCTTTCTCCACTGGTCCCCACAGGCACTGACCATCTAGGTTCCTCTTCTATCCATCAAGGTGAAATAGCTCATGGCAGCATCATCTGCCTCAAACATCTAAGACAGCTTCAAATACATAACCCATCAATACAATTCAAAGCTGTCCTGTAACGCCTAAAAATTTAACATGGTGACTGTACAAAGTGAGGTAATACCAGGCAGCTGGAACCCACATCTATTGTTCTGACTAAAACAAGTGACCTTGGCAACATACATGTATTATGAATTGTGAAACATTCAGTGACATATAAAAGATGTACAAAAGAAAACAGATTGGTAATTTGGGATTCAAAAAGGTTGGTTAAAATATTTCT